ATAGTGTCCAATTTTCCTACATTCATGGTTCTCACATTCCATGTTCCAGTCACTGGTGTCTGTTGCAGCTGTTCCTTCCCCTGTGTGTCCCAGTACGAGGGCTCTGCCTCTGATGCATCTCTGCCAGTCTAATCTGAGTGTGTGCTATTGGACATAGGGTTTTCAAAGGCCTGTTATTTTGGAAGTAGATGGCTAATTCTTCTTCCCAGTTTGTATTCCTTTGGATGCACAGCTTTAGAGCAGTATCTCACAGACAAGCATTTTACCCAAAAGAGTAAAAGAGAGTTTGCAGCTGGCTGCACAGCTAATTGATATAATATTGGTCCCACCGACCCACTTGGTACCTGTGAAGTGATTCCATTTCCCCTCGCCATCCTGCCAGCATCTGTTCTGATCCCTTGTCTCATTTCCATTTACTAGTACCATTTTCTCTCCTCCCTCTAACTAACCCTGACATGTCTCAGGTCTTTGGCCACTTCTGTCTGCTCCTTATTACCCATCTTCCACTGATGTTGGAGTTCAGCACTGGTCCAGGGTGGAGTAAGAATGGGAAGGGGGCAAATTGGCAGAGGAGTGGTGGGGAATAGATGATTAGGGGGTTGGGAAATTTAGAAAGTGGGTACACACAGACTGGCAGGGAAGAGGCACAGGCAGTGGGTGGTGGAAGCAGAAGTGGGGGAGCACAGACCAGCATTGGGGGGGGGGTGCAGCAAACAAGGCAGGGGTGATGGGGTGCTGACTGTGGAGGATAGGTAGTGCAGAGATCTCTGATGACCTCACTGGGGGTGGGCTGGAGTGTGGGGGCAAAAGGTCATTACAAAGTTAGAGGAGGGGAAAAAACCCAAGATGGATGTCAGAAGAGATGCCAAAGCAAAGGGAAGAAATCAGGAAGTTAAAGGGTTGAACAGATTTCAAAGTGTGTGGCTTGGAAAGACAAAGCAAAGTATTATAGTGAATTAAGCAAAGAGCTAGAGTCAGAAAATATAAAAGGACAAATTTGATCAGCATTTCATAAGCTAAAGCAAGGAAAGAACAAATTCAAGCCTCAAGTGGCAATATTTAATGATGCTATGGTCAGAATACTGAATGATCCAGGAAGCAAGAAAAGAGGATGGAGGGAGTATACAGAATCAAAGTACCAAAAAGAACTGGCTGACACAGAGAATTTCATGAAACAACATATGATCAGGAGCTGATGGTGACAAAGGAAGAAGTTTGAGCTGCTCTGAGGGAACTGGCAAAAATTAAAGCCCCAGGAATTGATGGAATACCAACTGACATATTTTAACAAACAGATACTTCCCTGGATGTGTTCACCAAACTGTGCCAAGCAATGTAGAGAAAAGCTACTTGGCCATCTTACTGGAACAAATCCAAACTTATTCTCATTCCAGAAAAAAAGATGATTCAACAGTGTGGAAATTATTGAACAGTATCACTAATATCATATGCAAGCAAAATCTTGAAGATTATCCAAAAATGACTGACAAAGAATTACCAGAAAGATAAACTTGGTTTAGAAGAGGCCGTGGCATTAGGGACACTACAACCAATGTCAGATGGATCTTGACTGAGAGCAGAGAATACCAGAAGAATGTCTATGTGTGTTTCATTGACTAGGCAAAGGCATTTGACTGCATGGATCACAACAAACTGTGGCTAACATTGAGAAGAAAAGGAATTCCAGAACACCTAACTGTGCTCATGTGAAACCTGTACTTGAATCAGGAATTCCAGAATACTCAATTGTGCTCATGCAAAACCTATACATGGACCAGGAAGCAGTCCTCAAAATAGAGCAAGAAAACACTGCACGGTTCGAAATCGGGAACATCAGGGATGTGTCTTGTTTCCACACCTTTTCAAAGTATATCCAGAACAGATCATCTAGGAGGCTGGGCTTTATGAGGAGGAATGTGGTATGAGCATTGCAGTTACTTGTAGTCACAACCTTGCTTGCTGAAACTGAGGAGATCTGAAGCATTTGCTGCAGAGGGTCAAGGACTGTAGTCTTTGACAAGGATTGTAACTTAACATCAAGAAACAAAAGATTCTCACCACTAGGCCAACTGGCAGCACCATGATAGACAGAGAAAGAGATGGAGACTGTTGACAATTTCAACTTGCTCGGCTCCACAATCAACAACACTCTTGGCACCAGCAGTCAGGAAATCAAAAGATGAACTGCATTGGGAAAATTTGCTGTCAGGGACCTCTCCAGAGTGCTAAATAACACCGATTTCAGTCTAGAAACTAAGATGCACCTGATCCAGGCCACGGTTTTTGTAATTACTTTCTACAAATCAGAAATCTGGACAATGACTAAGGACAACAGAAGGAGGATTAATGCCTTTTAGTTGTGGTACTGGAGAAGAGCATTGAATGTGCCATGGACTGCCAAGAGAACAAACAGGTTTGTCCCAGAGAGGGTGAAATCAAGTTTCTCCTTGGAGACAAGGATTTTGAAACTTGGTTTCATATACTTTGGGCATGTTGCCAGGAAAGACCAGTCCTTAGAGAAGGAGATCGTGCTTAGAAGGTTGGAGGGGCGGAAGAGAAGAGAAAGACCCCACATGACATGGATCGACATAGTAACTGGGTAAATGGGGTTAGGTGTGTCGGAATTAGTGACACTGACTCAAGATAGGTCAGAGTTCGGCGCTATTGTGTATAGGGTTGCTATGAGTTGTGTGGGACATGACAGCACATAAGCACAGATACAACATGGACATTATTAATGAGGACAGTACCCTTTATGAAACAGGTAAAAGCCAGACTGAGCCACCCCCACACTGCATCTGCTTCTTTCTCAATTAGTGTCAGAAGCAGCGGAATTCGCTGCTCCAGACTTAAAAACCATGGCTTGGTTATATAAATGTGGGACCTGGGAAGTATACAGTTAAAATGGTTATTGTTTGTTTCTACAAAGTGAAGAAGAAAATCAAAAGGTACTTTTGGTGCTACTAAGGTGGAAAGAAAAGCTGAGAAGCCTCTTTATGGCCTAAGACAAAAGGATAGAGAATGAAGATGAATCTGGCAATTTTTTTAAAGTCTATGTATGACTCCTCCCTCATTTCTATGTTATAATGTTCACATATATTCTAAAAATTAATATAAGGGATATGTAACATTAAGCTGGCAAGATGGTATCTAAAAATAACAAAAGGCAAGCAGGAGTTGCCTGTAAGTCAGAGCATCATATACCAGTGACTGCCTGTACATTGACCCACATGGAAGTAGAACTGCTAAATGTTTAGAAGTCTTTATTTTTTTATTTTTTTGTGTGTGTGCCATCAAATGGGATTTGACTGGTACAGGAGGAGATTGTCCCTCCTTCTCCAGCACAGCATCTGGTGGATTCAAACTGTGAGCCTCTGGAATTGCAATGTGGAAGTAATTTTTTAAAAAATCACCAACACAGGTCCTGTCTCAAGTATCAGCATTCACAATAAATATTTTTTTTATACAGTTTTATTCCTCCTTTGGTTTGAGTAATTTTTGTTATGTGCCATTGAGTTGCTTGCAACTCATAGCGACCCTATGTACAAGAGCCCTTAAACCTGCTCTATCCTGGGCCAACCTCACTGTCTCCGACACACTCACTCCCACCACTCCAATCACAGAATCGATCCATCTCATCGAGGGTCTTCCTCTCCTGCATCGTCCCTACACTCTCCCAAACATGACGTTCCTCTCCAAGGACTGGTCCCTCTTTGCAACATGCCCAAAGTATGTCAGACGAAGCTGCAGAATCCTTGACTCCAAGCAGCAGCCCGGCTTCACCCTCCCCAGGACAAACCTGTTTGTTTTCCTAGCAGTCCATGGTATGTTCAACACTTTTCTCCAGCACCACAACTCAAAGGCATCAATTCTCTTTTTATGATCCCTAGTCAATGTCCAACTCTCTGATGCATAGCATGCAACTGTAAAGACTATAACCCAGATCAGGTGCACCATAGTCTCCAGCCTGACATTGCATTTGATTCAATTTTGGTTTATACTATTTCAATCAAATGTGCATTAGTATGAGCTAGTTTAAATTGCTGAACAGAAAAAGGGACCTAAGAATTCTTTCAGTTATCATTTAAACAACAACAACAATCATTTCAAATAGAGTTTTCATGGGTAAAAGGAAGAGCTCATGTGGCTCAGTGATAAAGAACTTTCCTGCTGACTGATAGGTCGGCAGTTCAAACTCACCAACTGCTCCATGGGAGAATGGCAGGGCGACTTGCTTCTATAATAATTACAGCTGGGAAACTCTAACAACCAGTTCCAGGTCATCCAACAGAGTCATTTCTAAGCTGTAACTGTTAGAAATGGGCTTGATGGGTAAAAGTGCAATCCTTTATATCAAAACTACCAGAATGCAATTCATTGCAATCAAGGCAATCCGTGGAATAATGCTGAATGGAAAAAAGCCAATCTCAAATGGACACAGAATAAAAGCTCTGAACTGGAGAGCATATTCATGGCCATGAGGGGTCAGTGACAGTGGGGTTTGCCTTCAGAGGGGCCGCAGGAGGGAAATGTCTGTGGTGCTGTATCACTGGGAATACTGACCAATGTGGAGCTTCCTATGACTTTATATGTGGGATAATGTGCCCCAGAACCACACATATCATGAAACCAATGCCAGACTCCTGATTGGACATCGCCCAATAATTACGTAGAAGTAATCAACGAAGAGAAAGGGTAAAGGGGATTCAAAACCTCTTGCCAACGTAAGTGTGAATGTATAATTACATCAAGATAAATTATTTTAAGAGAAAAGTAAAAGAAAAAAAATTCAAGGGCTAAATTTAGACAGCACAGTTTAAAAACAGATTACAAAAGATGATGCAAATATTTTAGTCATGCACTTTACGGTACTGACTCCAGTACAGCTACAAGCCTGAGCTGTTGCTGTACATCTATGAAATGTCACCTCTAAGGACATCTCTCAGTGCTGCAGGGAGGGACTGTGCAGGTACAGTCTGACAGGCTGCACCACCCCTTACCGAAATCACTATCGTCATCCACTAGGATGATTTCATGGAGAAGGTATGCTGGCGTCCGGTCGATTACGCTGTGCACTGTCCGCAGCAAGGCAGAAAATGCTTCATTGTAGAAACAGATCACAACACTGGCAACTGGAAGATCAGGCGGGTAAGACTTGTCTTTACATCTGCAAAGAGAAATACGAGAACACTGTGACTACTGAATAGGCTCAAGATTTCACTGAAGCCTCTTTCTTGTTAATTTTTATAGTTTGCATACAATCATTCATATACTTTGTGCTTTATTCATGTACATTGTGTTTTATGCAATCAATATACACTGTATTTTAATCAATTACTAATGATCTATGCTTATTATCACACCATCTTTTCAAGGCCCTATTAAATCCTTCCTATTCCTTCACCCTCCCACCTGCCACTAACCTCTTCTATCCTTCCGATGTCCCGCGGCCCCTTTGTCATCTCCTTCTCATTTACCCCTTTTAAACATTTAGACACATCTGGGTTAGATTTAAAAAAAAAAAATTTAAGAAAACAATGTGGTTTCCTATTACATCTTCCTACTAATAATTTCTCCCTCTTTTGCCTGATATTGTGCTTATCTCTAAACAGATATTTTTCTTTTTCTTGTGCAAAGGTTACTTAAAAATGTATTATTTTACTGAAATCATTAATACTTTAATGCATGCAGTACTTGTAAGGCAGTGCACAGCTTTTCTTCAATGGTATCTCAAAAAGAAATTACAGAAATGTAAAACTTTCTATTTGAAAATTTTATTTATATCCAATAATAGAAAAATATTTATGCAGCCTATCATATCAAGATAAGAGAAGAACTGCCATGTAAGCAACTGTTTGACAAAAAGGCTTAAGTGGCTTTAAACCACAAAAGTCATTAACTTGAAATATATAATCCAGGTGGCATACAAGTCCTTCAATATCTGCACCTTATTCTTGCCTTCTGTCCTTCTCCCAGTAGAGCCAAAAAGTTTTCTGTTTCAGAATCATAAAATCAACTAGACTTGCTGGTTTGATAGAGACAGAACTCCTGAGCCTATGGTCCTTAGTCACTCTTCAAGCCAGGAACTGAGCAGACTCTCGTGTCTCAACCACAAGTAGCACTAAACAAGAACTGACAGAAGTATGTAAGGCACATACGCAGCATTCCTGGTATCTGGTACTTCTCTATGGTAGCCCAGGCGGTTACTAATAAGCATATTAAAGGCATGTTTCTGATAGCCCAGATCTCTCAGCTCCTGATCACGTACATTAAAAATCATACCTGTAAAAGAAAGAAGTTATGGGTCAGTGCATTAAATCGCAAAGGGACTGCTACAATGACTGTTACGATTGTAAGATAAAGAGAATCTTGACTTTATCTATTATAACCAGGGAATAGCCAAGTTTCTCAAATCTTGGTTGCCTCTAGTTTCAAGAAAGTAAATGCAGGTAAGATCTAACTCTTAACTGTCTAGTTCAAAGCAAGAGAACTGCAGCCATAAATAAAACCTGCTTACTAGACATCATTTTATGTTCTTTTTCTCACATTCAAGAAAAATAAATTACCTGTCACTAATAAAACCAGAAATTCAATGGTGATTATTTTCCATAAAAGCAGGAGACTGCAGAATTAAAAAGACCTCAACAGAATGCCCCAATTACGGATGTTTGGTATGAAACCCAAGAGAGACTAATGATAAACCATAATATGGGGTTCCATCAACTTTCTGGTTCCAGATCTTAGTCAGCCTCATATTCAAGAAATTCTTCCACAGCTCTAATCAAAACAACTGTAATTTAGCACTCCTGTCCCAACACTCTGTTGAAAATCTTACTTTTGCACAGACTAAGTCTTTTTTGGCTGCTGTTTTCCATATCAATACATTAGTCTCTCATCACAGAGCCAGTCCCTTGTAATAACATTTCCAGTCTGTTCATGAAAAACTAATTCCATCCAAAACCCATTCCTGATTAAGACATTCTGCATAACTGAAATAGAAGGGAATTTCCTGAACCTGGTGAAACATATATATGCAAAACCAAGAGCCAATATCATTTGCAATAGAGGAAGACTAAAAGCATCTTCTTTGTGAACAGACAAGAATACCCACTGTTGCCACTTCTATCGACTATTGTATTGAAGTGCTTACTAGGGCAATATGACTAGATAAGGAAATAAAAAACAGTAACGATCGGCAAAGAGATGGTAAAACTGCCACTATATGCAGATGATATTATACTGTATGCTGAAAATCCCAAGGACTCAACAAAAAAAACTTTTAGAGCTAGTAAACCAAATTCTGTTTGTTTATCCCCCTACCCAAAGGCTGTTTAAGTCTATATAATGGCTTGTCTCAGTGAGAAGACCAAAATAAGTTATACTTCTCTGCTAGAGCAAGCACAAATTGTGAGTTTTGCTCATATGCCACAGAGTGTTGCTTGCGTTAATAGACCAATTTAGTAGAGTCCAAAGATCAGTGGGATTCCTCTACAGTAACTTAGAGAACTCTGAGAAGGAAACCAAGAAAGCAATACCATTTACAATAGCCAACTACCCATATGTAGATACTTAGGAGTGAACTTACCTAGAGACACAAAAGACCTGTACAACTACAGAACATTTTTTAAAAAAAGTTTTTATTTTATTAATTTTTTGTGTGTATACCAGCAAATCAGATCTGATGACTAGTACAGGAGAAGATGACCCCTCCTTCTCCAGCAGAGCATCTAGTGGATTTAAACCACATACCTCTGGGATTACAGTGCAGCTTCTTTCCACTAGGCCACCAGAGCTCCCAAGAACATTTTTTGTGAAACACAATAAAAGACCTAAATAAATGTAAAACTGTGCCCTGTTCACGGACAGAAAGATTCAGTATTGTGAAAATTATGAGACACAGGTTCAACACAATCGCAATACAGATATCAAATTCACTTTTCAAGGTAATCTAAAGGGAAACTGCTAAGTTTATTTGGAGAGTAGAGGGATGCCAAATAAGCAAAGCAGTTCTGAAAAACAAAAATGAAGTGGGAGGCATATTATTCCCCGACCTCAAAACCTACATCAGCTCAGTGCACTCACCACGGTGGCCCCCATGCCAGGACTACAGATACGGCAGCCACTGGCAACACTGAGCCTGGTTCTGGAGCTGGCCTCAGGGCTCCCCACAGTCTGGGCTGGGCGGATGCTACACCCTATCGAGCAGCCCCCCCCGCCCCCCCCCCCCCCCCGGTGTGGCTGTTCACGGAGAAGGAGCTGGCTCGCTATAATGGGGAGGAGGAAGATCAGCCTACCTACATGGAAGTGAAGGCTGTGATATTTGATATCACTTCTGGAATGGAGTTTTATGGGAGAGGTGCCCCTTACAATGTCTTGACTGGGAAAGACTCCACCAGAGGGGGTGGCCAAGATGACCCTGGACCCCGCAGTCCTCGCTCATGACACGACAGGGCTCACGACCAAGGAGCTGGCATCCCTGGATGACATCTTCACACGGGTGTACAAGGCCAAATACCCCATCATCGGCTACACAGCCCGCAGGATTCTTAATGAGGATGACAGCCCCAACTTGGACTTCAAGCCTGAAGACCAGCCCCATTTTGACATAAAGGAAGAGTTTTGAGTCCCATCTGCAGGTTCAGGGTCTTGGGATAGTGGGGCAGGGTGGAAGCTAGCAATATCTGTTTCCTGAAACCTCTTCATCACCCAGATCTAAATAAAACAGGTGTTGGACCTGGGGGAAAAAAAAAAAACCCAAACCTACCACACATTAAAACAACTACAGAAAAGTTCAATAGAGCAGCAAACAACATGCTGGCGAGGTTGTGGAGAATCTGTGACCCTTAGTCACTACTGGTGGGAGTATAAAATAGTGCAACCACTCTGGAGGCTCGTTCTAAAAAAGTTGGAAATAGAAATACCATTTGACCAGCAATTCCACTGCTGGGGATATACCTAAAGAAATCACATCTCACCACAACAAGATAAAGGTAAATAATCCAATAGAAAAATGGGCACAGGATATGAACAGATATTCACCGAAGAAGACATTCAGATGGTTAACAAGCACATGAAGAAATGTTCAAAACCCCTAGCTCTAAGAGAGATGCAAATCAAAACAACTATGAGATATCACCTCACCCCAGTCAGAATAACAAAATTTAACAGAACAGCAAGCAACAAATGCTGGCAAGGTTGTGGAGAAACTGGAACACTTATTCACTGTTGGTGGGAGTGTAAAATGGTGCAACCACTGTGGAAGGTGGTATGGCACTTTCTCAAAAAGTTGCAAATAGACATACCATTTGACCCAGCAATTCCACTACTGGGAATATACCCCAAAGAGACCATAACTGACATCCAAGCAGATATATGCACACCCATGTTTATTGTAGCTTTGTTCAGCAAGGAGTTGGAAACAACCTAAGTGCCCAGCAACAAATGAATGGATAGAGAAGCTGTGGCATATTCACACAATGGAATACTATGCTGCATTGAAAAACAAGGAACTCATGCAATATTATTCAAAAGGGGTGACCCTGGAGGACATTATGCTGAGTGAAGTATCTCAGTCACAAAAGGACAAATACTGCATACTGCCACTGTTGTAAAACAGGACTGACCTTGGGGTTGGGGAGAGACTGAGAAAGATGAGTTCAATAATGTATACTGCACTGAAACAGATGAGGGAGAAAACTGTTTAAAAGTGATATGTGATTAGGTATTTTTGTCATGACAGGAGTCCAGAGCGAAGGCTGTATAGTGGAGTGGACCTAGGGGGAGGGTTTGTAAAGCAATGAAAGAATTTTTCTTTTACTTTTCCAAGAGGGTAGTGTACTAAGTGGGAGGGGAGAAAAGTGCAACAATGAATGAATGGAAATCCAAAGTCTCTGTCAATTTTTACTGAAATAATAAATTTAAATAAAACAAACAGAAAAATCAGATCTGCCACCTAAACCGCTATATGCATAGCCATGTTTATGGCTGCGTTGTTCACAACAGCAAAGAGATCAAAACAACCCAAGTGTCCATCAACAAACGAATGGATAGAGAAGCTGTGGTATATTCACACAATGGAATACTGCAGCACTGAAAAACAAAGAACTCAGAAAATATTATAAGAAATGGGTGACCCTGGAGGACATTATGCTGTGTGAAATATCTCAGTCACAAAAGGACAAATAATGCATAATGCCACTGTTATAAAACAGGACTGACATGGAGGTTGGAGGGAAACTAATAAAGAGGGGATAAATAATGAACACTGCATTGAAACAGATAAGGGAAAGAACTATTTGAGAGGAATATAGGATTAGGTATTATTTGCCTGACAACAGTCCAGAATAAGAGGTGCATTTCAAAGTGGACTGAGGTGCAGGGAAAGGGATTAAATTGTGAAACAATTAAAGAACTTTAAAAAAATCCAATAACACAAAACCCCACTACACAGCAGCAGTAACCAAAACAGCATGGTACTGGTACAATTACAGGCACAAAGACCAATGGAACAAAATTGAGAACCCAGAAATGGACGCATCTATCCACAGTGAACTGATATTTGACAAGGAAATAAAACTTACCAAATCGGGAAATGACAACCTCTCCATCAAATGGTGCTGGCATAACTGGACTGCTAACTGCAGAAGTCAAAAACAGGATCTACATCTCACACCATACACAAAAATATACTCAAAGTGGATCAGAGACTGGGAATAAAGTCCCAAACTATAAAGTTCTTAAGAGACAAACTGAAATCAAGCTTAGAAGGCCTAGTCTAGGGTATAAAGAGACTGCTAAATACAGCCAGAAATGCACAATCTGAAGAGGATAAATTTGATGATTTTAAAGATTAAATCTCTGTGCTCATCAAAATCTTTTTCCATCAGGGTGAAAAGAAAACCTACTGACAGGGAAGAAATATTTGGCAATATCATTTCAGACAAGGGTCTCATAAAGAAAGTTTACAGAATACTCCTAGGCCTCTAAAAGAAAAAGACTGACAACACAATTACAAAATAGGCAAGAGACATGGAAAGACTTTTAAAAGAGGAGGACATTCAGCTGGCCAACAAACACATGAAGAAATGCTCTAAATCACTGGCAAGAAGAGAGATGTAAATCAAAACCACAATGAGATACCATCTTATGCCAGTAGCAGTGGCAAAGTTTAGCAGGACATCAAGTAATAAATGTTAGAGAGGGTGTGACAAGATAGGAACGCTTATACATTGTTGGTAGGATTGTAAAATGGTACAACCACTCTAGAAGGCAGTTTGGTGCTCCCTCAAAAAGCTGAACACAGAGATTCCATATGCCCCAGCTATTCCACTGCTCAGGATATACCCTGAGAAAATGAGAACTGAGGCACAAACAGAGACTTGTACAACAATGTTCACAGCTACATTATTCACCATTGCAAGAACATGGAAATAGCCCAAACGTCAACCGCAATAGAATGGACTGAGAAATTTTAGTACATTCACACAATGGAATACTACGCAGCACACAGGAACAATGATTTTGTAAATCACTACCTAACTTTGGAGGAACTAGAGAGCATTATGCTAAGTGAACTAACTCATTTTCATAAAGACAAATACTGTATAAGACCATTATTGCAGAACAAGTATGAGGATCCAACGAGGGGAGGGCGAGCAGAGGGGTGAGAATAGACAGGGATGAGGATGAAGGGTTTAATCACAGGGTCGCACAATCTGCTGGGTGGAAGGAGGTGTGAATAAAGGAAAGAGGAAAGATTCAGTGTGAAAAACAATGTATATGAACTTTGAAAGAAAACCAAATAAACCTAATTCCACTCGATGTTAACAGATTTTTAAGGGTAAAAAAAGTTTTTAAGGTCAAACAAATTAGAGAGCTGCTGGATTCTTAAAGGTCAAATTGTTGTTGTAAGTTGCTGTTGAGTCAAGTAAGACCCACAGCAAGCCCATGAACAACAGATCTGAACCCTGCCCTATCCTGTGTCATTCGCATTACCCTGACACACTTGAGCCCATTGCTGCAGTCACTGTATCAACCCATTTGTTGAGGGTCTTCTATTTAGCCAACCCTTCACCTTTCTAAGCATTATGTCCCTCTCCAAGGAATAGCCTCTCCTAACAACATGTCCAAAGTATATGAGGTGAAGCTTTGTCTTCTTTGCTTCTGACTGTACTTTTCCAAGACATATCTGTTCATGGGATATTTAGTACTCTTCTCCAGCATCACAATTCAAAGGCATCATTTCTTCTCCTGTCATCCTAATTCACTGTCCAGGTCTCAGACTATAGCACTGCTCCTTAATAATTTGGAGAGGTCCTTGACTGCAGATTTTCCCAGCTCAATATGTCTCTTGATTTCCTGACTGCTGGTACCATGGATGTTGATTGTGAATCTAAATATGATAAAATTGTTGACATTTTCAGTATTTTCTCTGTCTATCAGATTGTCTACCTGCCCAGTGGTGAGGATTTTTGTTCATCCTATTGTTGTTATGTGCTGTCAAGTCAAGTATGACTTGTTGCAACCCTGGGAACAACAGACCTGACTCTATCTTATCCTGCACCACCTCATTATCACGTGAGCCCACTGCTGCAATCACTGTCACTACATCTCGATGAGGGTCTTCTTCTGTTTTGCTGACCCTCCACCTTTCTAAGCATGCTATCTCACATAATTTTGTTTTAACTAATGATTTTTGAGCATCATTTCATGTGCTTGCTGGTCATACGTATGTATTCTTCAGACAATGACTACTGTTTTGTAAATTTTAAATTTTATCATTTGTCTTTTTGTTGCTGAGTTTTAAGAGTTTCTCTATTCTGTATATTAGGGTTATCAAGTATATAATTTGGAAAACTATTTTCCCATTCTGTAGTTGTCTGTTTGACTTTGTTGTACAAATTTTCAAATTTTGATAAAACCCTATTTATCTATTTTTTGTCTATATTTCTTGGGCTTTTCATGTCTCATCTAAGAAATAAATGTTGAATCTAAGGTCTCAAAGATTTATCCCTATATTGTTCTCTAAAGAGTATTAACATCTTAGCTCTCACATTTAAGTGTGTAATTCATCTGAGGTTATGGGGTTTTTTATCCAGTGTAAAGTGTAGGTTCAATTTCACCTCTTTTGCATGTGAAGATTTCGCAGTCCCAACAGTATTTGTCGAAAAGACTATTTTTTCTCCATTAAATAACTTTGGCATCCTCATTAAAAATTAATTTATCATAGATACATGGGTTCATTTCCGGACTCTCAATTCTATTTCACTGATCTATATCCTTATAGCAGTGTCACACTGCTTTGAGACGTTTTGAAACTGGTAGGTGTTGAGGCCTCCAACTCTGTTCTTTTTCAAGACTGTTTTCAATATTCAAGGTTTGTCATAGATTTAACTATGTTTCCCCACAATACATGAATATAAATCATGATAATGTGGATGTCATGTGATGATCCTCTATAATCTGACAAACCAAATTGTTGTAGGCGGGTGAAGGGGGGAGTGTAGCACCCTTTAATCCCATCACAGCGCTAACTTGATGAAGAGGATTTTCAGTAGGCTGTGGCCTGTAAATTTTTTTTCTCTCACAAGAGATAAAAGGAGAGGAAAACTAGCCAATAAAATGAAGCACGTCTACATTGCCATTTAATTTTTTCATATTAAATTTTATAATCAATGAACCCAGTATGTCCTATTTATTTATATCTTCTTTACTTCATTTCAGCAATGTTTTATAATACAATGTATGAGTCAGGTATCTTCCTAAAGTTATTCCTAAGTATTTTATACATTTTTTTATGCTTTGTAAATGGAACTGTCTTCTTAATTTCATTTGCAGCTGTTCACTGTCAGTGCACAGACACAGAAATGAGACTTGCATACTGCAGCAGAAGTGAATTAATTTATTAGCTCTAATATTTTATAATAGCTTCAAGATTTTCTATAAAGAATATGGTTTTTAAGTTAGAAAATTTAAAATATCTACAAATCTCTCATTACTTCTCTTAAAGGCAAATAAAAATCATTCAAAATGGTAAACGAAGAAACTACCACATTCTTTTCTTTTTCTCCTCCTACCACATTCTTTTATTAAAAGAACTATGGAAAAATTAGGGAGCTCTGGTACCTTAGTGATAAGAAACTAAGCTACCAACACAAAGGTCCATGGTTCGAATCTACCGGCTGCTCCACAGGAGAAATACTGACAATCTCCTCCCATACAATTTACTGCCTCTGAAAAGCTGCTGGAGGGTCAGCTATGGGTTATTTCCTACTCCAGGGTACACAAAAAGAACATGTACAAATTATTCTAAACTTTCCCATTAAGGCTTTTAAAATATTTACATAGCCATTTGATAGAACAGTTTGGTACAACTGAGTCCTCATCTGATTTTTTAAAAAAAATTTATTATTAATGTCAATGAAAATTTACAGAGACTTTGGGTTTCCACTCATTCACTGTTGTACTTTTCTCCCCTCCCAACTCTCCCCCCTTAGTACACTACCCTCTTGGAAAAGTAAAAGAAAAATTCTTTCATTGTTTTACAATCCCTCCCCCCAGGTCCACTCCACTATGCAACCTTTGCTCTGGACTCCTGTCATGACAAAAATACCTAATCACATATCACTTTTAAACAGTTTTCTCCCTCATCTGTTTCAATGCAATATACATTATTGAACCCATCTTTCTCAGTCTCCCCCCAACCCCAAGGACAGTCCTGTTTTACAACAGTGGCAGTATGCAGTATTTGTCCTTTTGTGACTGAGATACTTCACTCAGCATAATGTCCTCCAGGGTCACCCCTTTTGAATAATATTGCATGAGTTCCTTGTTTTTCAATGCAGCGTAGTATTCCATTGTGTGAACATACCACAGCTTCTCTATCCATTCATTTGTTGATGGGCACTTAAGTTGTTCCCAACTCCTTGCTATTATGAACAAAGCAGCAATAAACATGGGTGTGTATATATCTGCTTGGATGTCAGTTATGGTCTCTTTAGGGTATATTCCCAGTAGTGGAATTGCTGGGTCAAATGGTATCTCTATCTGCAACTTTTTGAGAAAGCGCCATACCACCCTCCATAGTGGTTGCACCATCCTCATCTGATTTTTATTTTTTGTATTTTTTTTTTCTCATCTGATTTTTAATACTTCCAACATCACAGATTAGAAAGTCATTAAGGAACTCTCAAAATCTCTGTTTCTACTTCTTGGTTACTTATTATTTCAAGTTTTCATGAAAAAAGTTTTCTTTTTTACATTTTAAATATAAATGGCTCATTCAGTCCTTAAAATAAAATCTGCTAAATTCCAAGTCTCTGGAATTATAACATTCAAAGACATATTATTACCACATTAGATAAGAAACAATTTTGAAAGAAAAAAAGCTTTCCACTCTATGATCAGATTAAATAAACTGCTATATTGAATAGCTACATAGTCCAGTGCTTTCATAATTATAAGTGGAAATCTTATTAGCAATAAGTAGTCCCAGCTTATTTCTAAATCTTTTATCTGTTTTTTTTCAATTAAACCTACCTTTCAAAGTAAATTAAATACACTCAAGCCCTCTTTCATTTTTCTTCATTAACTAAACCTAGTGATCAAAATCTTCCTCCATTTCCATTTTCCTTCCTGTCCTCTAATTTTTCTTTCCAACCCTATCTTCTCTAGACCGTGTTAAGGTCTCCTCCACGTCTTTCCAGGATATGGAAGTCAAAATTAGACAAATCAGGACACAAGTCCTTGGGGAGACTTGCTAAAAATCACAGAACCCCAGATAAAAATAAATCAGTAAAGGGGATTAAAAAAGACCTATTTCTAATCTCCTAAACAACCTATGGTTGAAAGCATAATTAAACGTAATATTCCAAAATACTCTGGAATGATACTTAGTAAAAAAAATGGTACTTAGTAAAAAAATCAAATCCATTTACTTACCTAATTCAGGTGAAAATTTCAAATTGCCCTTTTCTGGATCTTCGATATGATTATCTCTCACGTCGCCCAACTTGCTTGCTTTGAACTGTGGCTCTAACACTCGACTGGGACCTCGTGTGAAACGGGGATACAACTTTTTGGGGAATGGCCCGTGGGGTCCAGACCCCTTGATGGGCACATTCTTAAGTGGCTGAGTCACTTCACTGAAGTTGAAATAAATGAAGAGCAGAGCGGTCCAGGTCACAGAGGTAAAAAGGCATCCATAACAGAAATAGCGCACTGTGACACTTCCCATCATAGAACTAGCATAGCGGAAAGGCCATTTTCAGTTTTCTGAAAAAGACGGGAAAAATCTGTTAGAAAGCTCAGCACATTTGTAAATCATCTACTAAATGCATATCCACTGTTTTCCAAGCTGCTGAGCAGCTCTTCTAAATTATTTACGTAAGGCCCCAAGCGTGACATTAACAAAGATTCAAAGATAAACAGATTTTTTTGGATATCACTGGGAACAAAAAGAGAAGCTTCAGAAACTGAAAACATAGACAAATGTGTGGGTGCTCAGAGGGCCAATGGTGCAACACAGCTGGTGGGTTCTCTTGTCTTAGTTAGTGAAGGCTTCTTTACGTTGGGCTGGAACACTTTCTGTTTGTTCATTTCCCCTCAAATAAACAGGTCAGGTTTAACTTCTCATGAGGAAAATACAAATGTCGTGTGTATTTTGACAGTACATCTAAGCCTCCTTCTAACTCTAAAAAATGAAAATACTCTTTTTCAAGCACAAGATATTAAAATCTGTTCTGGATAATAAGTAGACGAGAGGTTGAGGGAGTTCCATTTTCTAATCAAAAGTTAAACCTGCCCTAGTGGCTACTCTAGATTCAACAGTCACAAATGCATTTATAAACTGTAACAGAAAATGTTCAGATTCTTGTTTTCTCTCACCTTGTGAAGTTTTATAAAATAAGGCACAAAAGCAGAATATATGGCATGAAACCACAATTTCCCCTAAGTTTTGTGATAATATCAGGTCTTCATAGAGGTCTTCCACGCCTGGCTTCCTGAGGAATTCTTTCTAAATGACTATGTAGGACATTCCATTTAGAACACATATAGAAAACAAGCTCAGTGAACTGGCTGAAGGAAGTGAAACGTGACAGAAGTAATGTGCACATAAAAGAAAACTCCAGAGAGAGTACTTAAAGTTACTTTATACTTCTAAAATAGAAAGTAATTTAAAATTAATATTATCACCACCAAAGTATCAGAACAAAGCAAATCAGCATCAGGCCTGACTTCAAAATGAAATTGCTTTGTGAAAGGGTATGCCACAGGCTTAAAACATGGTAAGTAGGTCAATTTCTTAAACCAAGAACTATTAAAATAGCTCAATGCACGTTAGATAAAAACAAACAAACAAAAAAACCCCAAAAACAAAACCTCTTTAACGGCAATCAAATGCAGACAGGTGGCTAGAAGTGACTAAAAGTCAAAGGAAAATCATGAAAGGGCCAAAAAAAACCCCAAAATCTAAAAAAATCATCTGAAAGGACAAAGAAAAGCCTACTACTGTTGCATAGAGTTGACGCCTATGACCTTCCATCAGGAATCCCTATCTTTTATCTGAGGAGTAGCTGGCAGATTCAAACTGTCAGCCTTTTGGTTAGCAGTCCAACACACAAATGGCTATTGTATCCATTGTGAGCACTTTTTCAACTGCAGCCTTTGAGCTGTGGTGCTGGAGTACTGAATATCCCATGGTCTGCCAAAAGAACAAACACGTATGTCTTGGAAAAGGTGCAGCTGGAGTGCTCCAGGGAGGCAACGATGGCAAAGCTTTGATTCTCATTCTTTAGACATGTTCTTAGGAGAGGCTATTCCTTGGCAAAGGGTATCATGCTTAGAAGGCTGGAGGGTCAGCAAAACAAAGAAAGACCTCTATCAAGATGGATTGGCATGGTGACTGCAGCAATGGGCTCAAATGTATCAGAGAAAGTGAGGATGGCACAGGATAGGACAAGATCCAGGTCTGTTGTTCACAGGGTTGCTCTGAGTCATACTCAACAGCACCTAACAAGAATAATGTACAAAGAAAAACACAAATATATAACAGGAAGTACATGTTCTCTAAGCAAGATAAAGGAAACAACTAGAACAAATGAAAAAAAACAAAAAGAGGTGCATATATGGAATGCAGAGAGTCCTGATATTGAAGAAAAACAGTCCATTTCAACTAAAACCAGATATTTTAACTTTCTAGTATATTTGCTTGAATATCTAGGTCTGGTGGCCAAGAGGCAAGAAGCTGCACTGCAAACCTGAAGGCATGCAGTTTGAATACAGCAGCTCTGCAGAAGAAGGATGGACAATCTCCTCTTACACAATTAACTGCCTCTGAAAACATGCCAGAGGGTCAGCTATGGGCCGGTTCTGATTCTACTGCACAGAAGAAGTAGGTAAAAGGCAAGCAAGCAGCAGGCAAGCAACAAAAACAAAAGCACTGCCTCCGTGGCAGCCTATGAAATCCGAAATTAAAAACTGTTCTGCATGAAGAACTGTGCGTTCTACAATTATGTAATGAGAAGTGTAGTTAGAGATTGAGCTCTTCAAGCCTTCTACTTGCATCCTGGAACCCCCTGGACTCAGAAAGCAGCCGTGAAGCAAGCCAGTCCATCTTCTTAATCACAGGAACCACTAGCACTCAAAGACAGCTCTGACATTTGACTCTTGATTTTTTTCTTTTCTTATCTCAATCCTCATCATGGTGTCCAAACCCCCAACAAATCTGATTCTGATGAATAAGGACCCTAACATGGCAGAACAGTGTTCACAGCGTTCCCAAAGGTATAAAGCTCTGTGGAAGCAGACTATTTCATCTTTCTTCTGCAGAGAGGCGGGTGGGTTTGAACTGCAGACTTTTCAATTGGTCCAATGGAAGAATCTTTATTTTCTTGATGTTGAGATGCAATCCATTTTTCTTTGATCTTCTGCAACAAATGCCTCAAGTTCTCACTTTCAGCAAGCAAGGTTGTTTCATCTGCATAATGCAGTTTACTAATGAGTCTTCCTCCAATCTTGATTCCACATTCTTAAGTTTGTTTTTTTAAATTTTATTTTATAATTTTGTGCATGTACTGTCAAACTGGATCTAACTGGTACAGGAGGAGATGGCCCCTTCTTCTCCAGCAGACCATCTGGTGGATTTGAACCATATACCTCTGAGATTGCAGTGCAGCCTCTTGCCACTAGGCCACCAGAGCTCCCTTGATCCCACATTCTTCTTTATAAAGTCCAGCTTCTCAAAAATTTGCTCAGCATACAGATTAAATAAGTATGGAGAGAGAATACATCCCTGATGTACAGCTTTCTTAATTTTATATCATGTAGTGTTCCCTTGCTCTGTCCATACAACAGCTTCCTGGTCTAGGTGTCTAGTTTTTTCATGAGCAAAATTGAGTGCTCTGGTATTTCCATTCTTCTCAATGTCAGCCACAACTTGTTAGGATCCACAAAGTCAAATGCCTTTGCATAGTCAATAAAGCATAACTGAACATTTTTCTGGCGTTCTTTAATTTCAGCCAAGATCCATTAATTCAGCAGTGATATTCCTCTTCTAAATCCTGCCTGAACTTGTGGTAGTTCCCTATCTATGCACTGTTTTAGCCATTTTTTAATGATCTTCAGCAATACTTTGCTTGTGTATGGTATTAATGATATTGTTGGGGGAGGAGTGGGCAGGGAAGAAAATGTGCAACAATGAATTAAATGAAATCCATGTTCTCTATAAACTTTCATTAAAATCTCAATTAAAAAATTATATTGTTCAAGAGTCTCCATATTCAGTTGGATCACCTTTCTTGTGAATGGGAACAAATATGGACCTCTTCCAATCCGCTGGCCAGACAGCTGTCGTGCTGGCAGACTGGTGAGTGCATCCAGGACTGCATCTGGTGGCTGAACCAACAAAAACATGCAGTGTTCTCTTGCTCTGTTTGAACAACAGTTTCTTGGTTTAGGTATAGGTTTCACAAGAGCTCAATCAAGTGTTCTGGGGTTCCCATTTTTCTCAATTTTAGGTACAATTTCTTATGATCCACACTGTCAAATGCCTTTACACAGTCAATAAAACACACGTAAACATCCTTCTTCTCAAGGTCAGCCACAACTTGTCATGATCACACAGCCAATGCCTTTGCATAGTTAATAAAGCATAAATTGACATTCTTCTGGTATTCCTTACTTTCAGCTAGGATCCATGTGACATCAGCAATGATATCCCTGGTGTCACGGCCTCTTCTAAATCCTGCTTGAACTTCTGGCAATTCCCTATCTATGTACTGTTTCAGCCGTTTTTTAATGATATCATGACAAATTATGGCTGCCATTGAGAATGGGAATCCCAGAGCACTTGATTGTGCTCATGAGGAAGCTATACATGGATCAGGAGGCTGTTGTGCGAAGGGAGCAGGGGAGCACTGTATGGTTTGGAATTGGGAAGGGAGTGTGTCAGGACTGTATTCTATCGCCATATCTGTTCAATCTGTATGCTGAGCAAATTATCTGAAAAGCTGGAATGTGGCATCAGGACTGGAGGGAGACTCATCAATGACCTGTGTTATGCTGATGACACAACTTTACATGCTGAAAGTGAGGAGGACTTGAAGCACTTGTTGCAGAAGAACAAGGAATGCAGCCTTCAGTATAGATGGTGTCTCAATATAAAGAAAACAAAAGATTCTTACCACTGGACTAATAGGGAGTATCAGATAGATGGAGAAGAGATTAAACTGCCAACAGCTTCATCTTGCTTGGATCCACAATTACCACCCTTGGTATGAGCATTCAAGAAATAAGGAGGAGCACTGCACTGGGAACAACTACAGTTAGGGACCTTTCCAAATTGTTGAGTAGTGATGTCAGTTTGAGGACTAAGGTGCATCTGATTCAGGCCATAGTCTTTCCAATTACTAGCTATGTTCTGAGACCTGGACAATGAACAAGGATGACAGAAAAAGAATTGATGCCTTTGAGCTGTGGTGACAGAAGAGCACTGAACATCCAATGGATGGACAAGAGAACAAACAGATAGATATATCTTGGAGAGGGTGCAGCTAGAGTGCTCTTCAGAAGCAAGAATGATGTGGCTGCCTCACATACTTTGGACATATTGCTAGGAGGTGCTATGCTTTGGAGAGGAACATGATGTTGGCAAGGGTGGAGGGTGCAGGTGAACTGAAATGGTAACCACTGCAATGGGCTCTTGTGTGTTGGAAAGTCTGAGGATGGCACAGGACAGGA